CAATTTAGCACGCCAGACCTGCAGCGTCAGACTGTCCGAGTGCCGAAAAAATAGGCATCACATCGCCAGGGCAAACATTGGCTCTGGGAGTTTGATTTCAGGGGAATGCTCTGATTTGGGGGCTTGCGGAATGAGAATGTATCTTTTTTTTGGCCACCCCTCACCAATAATTTCACAACATGCCGCACGTCCAACAACCTCTTATACCGTACTGTGGGGCTGCTGGGGGCGAAAGAAATTCAGGGTATCTCAAACGGACTTTTTTAGAATTCTGGTGATTGTGTTTTTGCCATGGCACATGCAAACGGAATCCAATGAATTATCACTAGTTCCTAGCCTTTTCATAGACTTCCCCTTTCAAGTTTTCCCATTATTGAAATTGTGATCCATGCTACTCCTCCCAAGGTCAGCATGGTTGTGGATGGCCTTCAGGCGCTCAAACGTCGGCGGAACCTGTGGGCAGTGCGGGCGGACAAGCTTAAGAGAGCCAGTGTGCCTGGCACGCTTGTGGTTGGGTTTAGCTGAACACTTAGCACTAAACAATTGGACGGCACATCCAAAACAAAGGTATCCAGATATTCTTTTGCAGTTTCCAGGGTTATGAGCAGTGTCTTTAGTTTTGTCATGGTGCACACCTTTTTGAATGAGTTGCTTTCGCAGCCCGTTTTCGTGAAGTAAGAAGCATGAACTGTTTCGTTGAAAAATCAATACTTGGGATCCCTTCCAACAAGCACGAATGAACTCATGAGATACTGATTTAAATTCTACACGTTCAATATCAAGACATTTTAAAAAATCAGCAAGAACAGGATTTGTATACTGTACCTTGGTTTGGGGTGAACTTCTAAGCTTTGATTGGCCACTTGCTCCGTCCCGGCGCCATGGCAACTTGGATTGATAGTCTCATCTGGAGACTGCGAGAACTCAAGTGTCCCAAGGCGTGATGAGACACTCATGTATATATGCATGCATATATCTATATATTGTATTGATATAATAAGATATACTATGCAAGATATATTATGGTACAATAAGATCCCTTTATCAGCTGCATGCCCATAGAGTTATTGTTGATGTGTTGATGCCCTGGTCCCCTTTCTTTATCCTAATTCGCCAACGTGCCTCGTGCCAGGAGTTTGCTCTTTGCATTCTCTTGATCACATGGTCATCTTTTGACCTGACTCAGGTGTGGCAGGGTCAGGATTCTATCTGACGGCATGGGACAAACATACAAGATGTATCATGGGAATTTCAATTCAAATGTTATTACACCAGCGGGGTTCGATTGATAAATTGATACCATTCAAATTCGAATCTTCTAGAATCAACCTCGGTCTCAAACCTCCATGGCCAGGAGTTTGACTATTTGGAGTACTTCGCAGGTGCTGGAGAAATAACGAAGCATATGCTAGCATCCAAATACAGAGCGGCAAGGCTGGACCTCTTGGACTTCACACCAGAAAGTCCAAACACGTCCAACTACATGGATCTCAACCAATCTGCTGGGTATGCGTTTCTATGGATGAAAAGAATTCCGTTGGTTTTTTTTGTTGTGACACTTTAATACCAAAAAACATGGCACATAGAATTTGCAAAACCAATCCACAGTTTCAGAAATAATCACTTTATTTGTTTGTTGGTATTCCTTGCATACCCTTTGCGCCCAGCCCCTGCCTCCAGTCTCAGGTTGGGCATCATTGTCATGCTGAAGGCGATGGTAGGTGCATTCGCCTGCCATTTTGCGATAAAATGCTCCAGTTTTTGCCGAGTTAACGTGGGCACTTCGATGAGAAGTGCCTGTTGCGCCTTCGGCTGTGTTGCCTACAGCTCCATATATGAAGCCAACAAACTTCTTGAGAGGAAACCATCGTGGGATATCGTGGGTTAGTTTTCATTTTTGAAAGCTATCAATAACTAAGGTTGGATCCAATATTTTGATGTTTCAAATATCCCAATCCAGCTCTTGACTTCCCCACTGTGGCAGGACTTGCACGTTGGTCGTATTATGCACAGCCCTTGGTGGGGGTTGGTCTTTGGAACAACCTGGCGGGCCTTTATTGGAATTTTACCCTACATGGCGGTTTGTTCTCACTTCCATTTGTGATTGCGGGGGTCCTTATGCCGTGATGCCCTCAGATCACACTTTATCTAGAGGGTCGGTGTTCAGAATTATACTTGCAATCAAACACAAGAAAACGACAAAACACTGTTAGTCTCGTCATCAAAATAGACGATGGGTTTGGTGAGATTTTGTGTTCGGCTTAGGTGAACATAGTACGGTGGTGGATGAAACACTATGATGCCAAGACTGCCAAAAGGCATATTGGGCTTGCCAACTCGGCCATCATTCGCCGTCTTGACAAAGGCAAGTTGCAGGTGGAACGGGGTCCAAAAAAGTCGCAAGTGATTCAGACATGCGCCAAATATCAAGACCGTAGCGGGAAACTACGCTACAAAGGGACGTCTCATCTCCGTGACACCCAGTCACCTGTCTATAATGGTTGAACATGGTTGAACCGTGATTGGCTTTCCAGTTCTGGTTCTTTTTCTGTTAGAGATTGTTTGAAACATGATATTGGTTACTTCAACTGCAGTAGAGTCAATGCCCGTGAATTCAGAAGTGGCGACAGCAACAGGGGAACATAACATATATACATGCCCGCACACCGAATGGTTTCAAGAGACACTTCATTCAATCTGTAAACTCACCACTGTATTGAACACAAACATCAAGCTTTCGCTTGGTCTTGGGTTTGTTCAAACTATTTTTGAACATATATATATGCATGCGTATATAGCGGGTAATATTGTAGTAGTTGTGGGATATGATGCAAAAATAAATATGTATGACTCAAACAAATACCCATGCACATATACCCACTACAGCGGACTGCCCCATGCCGAGGATATACACGCCTCGCTTTGCCAGAGCTATGTGTGACTTGGTGGAAGACCTCAAGGCAACTTGCCGGGGCCAACCCAAGATCATTGGGGATCCACCAATGGCATTTGAGACCATGCAAATGGATTGGGTATCAGATAGTGACATGTGGCAGTTTGTAGATTTCCAAGAGATCTATTCATATCTTAGAGGGTCCAAACGGCTCCAAATTCCTGATATGTGGCGGCCACTTGTTCCGAAAAAGCTCAATTAGAGGAATGAAGCCTTCCAAGCTTCCCTTTGGACCTGGGTTTCCTCCATCGAAAATCAATTTCTGTTGATTTTTTCCTATTTTTTAATGGAAAAAGTCGGGTTTGATGTCACATACGATCGGAACCCGTGATGAACCCATGATTTACCCATGACAACCCATGATTTAACTTAAGATACCCTGGGTTTGGGGGAGGAAACCCTAGGTTTTTGGGAAACCCTGGGTTTTTTCAAACCTGTGATTTACCCGTGACCAACCCATGATTTACCCGTGACAACCCATGAAAAAAACACGGGTACAAGGCCCAAAACTATCTTCAAATTTGATTTGATTTTGATGGGTTTTTTGTCACTCAATTGGTCATTTCGACCCATTTGGCCGGCTGGAAATCGGATCCCGCCAACTGGAAATCGGATCTTGGCGATCGAAAATCGGATCTTTGCGATCGGGAATCGGATCTTAGCGATCGGGAGTCGAAATTCCCGATATCATAAGTCATAATCTATAATATATTACAATTGTATTTGCTATATTCGTTGTTTTCTTAATGGCCTTGTGCACCATGCCATGGCAATCCTATACCATATGCTTCAATATGTTTAGCTTGGAACCGACGCCATTTTGAGCCTTTCCAGGTCAGTTTCACCAATCATTCCTTTGGTGCCATGTCCAGTCAACAAGCTAGTGTTGATGGCAACTCACACCAGTGGAGTTGTGAAACTTTGGTTGATGGGTTGGCCCATGTTAAGAGTCGGAGCCAGCCCCCTGAAGACGAAGAAGATCTTTTGAAGAAACTAGAGGATACTACTCATGTGAGTTTGTTTTGAAAGCATTGTGACTCACTTAGAACCTGAGCTGAAACTATATCACTGTGATAAAAAATAATCATACCCATCATGTGCAGGAGCTTGATGCAAAGCTTTCGTTGGAGAGGGAAACCAATTCCAGTCCTGGATCTGCTGCCACGATCTTAGATGTTGAACGCTATTCTTGTAATGGAAAAAATTAGAGCACAACTTGTTGGCCCACCAGCGCAAGGCTGATGCCCAGACGCCTTCACCACATTCGCTGGATACTCTTCCAGTTCACACCTCAGGTCCAATGTGGATAATCCAGCAGCTTCAGTTTTTGATGGTTTAGGATTGATTTTTGGATGCCTATTGGTTTGACCCCAGGCAACGGAAGATGAACTCAAAGCAGTCCGTGGTGCTGAAACTCAGATCATTGGGACCGTAGTTTTTGTTGTAGATTAGTTATATAGTGTTCTTACAAGTCTTTTTGATATTGACAACCACTTTTCTTTCAAGTATATAAGCTATATAAGGTTCATGATTCTATAAATGTAGCAACACTAAGGAAGATACTTCACAGAAGGGCACTGTGGCTGTACCTACACCTGTTCGCAAACGGCATGAGCCTCCTGTGTTGCCTGATACTTTGAATTCAGGGTCACTGCAGCCCGAAAACAAGAAGGCCAAGACTAGTGGTGAAAATGAAAAAGATGCAGCCCAACCAGTGACCCCTAAGCAGGGAGAGCAGGAGCCAAGTACGTTAGAGGATGCAGAGGTTGCCACGGCTGGGAAGCGAATGCACCCCATAGGGATGACCCATCGACAGGCCCAGTGGTTTGATATTAAATTCGTTCACCAAAAAAGTCAAATGTTTTTGCCCATTTGGTTTGAATGCTGGGGACCACATTGTATGGGTACAATCTGTTAAATGTTCTCGGAATACTCCATAACATTGTTAATCATTGCAATGGGTTTGGTACGGTTTCCAACATGCACTGCCCCATACTGCCCCCTGAAGTTTCTCTTACGCCGAGCGGCCAAAGCTCGCCTTGACCGGATGTGCAAACATCATGGCAAACGCCAGAATCTGAACGTGCCTGAGTGGCTTCAACGGGAGTGGAAGAATGGAGACAAGAATGAGATATCTGACGTCCTTCGAGAGTGCAACTTCTCCAAGGATACCAATGCCCCATCAATTTCAAAACATTTTTGGTCAGTACATCAGAGAACTGTTCTGAGCTATTTGTTTTTTTAAACCATGTTTTCGCCACCTGTAGCCATACACTGCTGTTGTTTGTAGGAGGTGTTTATCTCTACTATGCAGACCATCATCTCGAAGAAGCAATCCATGCGAATCAAGAAGGAGGAGGGCTGGTACTCCGAGGGCGAGATGAAAAATGACTTGGGATGGTCCACGTAGCTACCTTATCAAAATCCATGATGAGTGGCCAACTTCTTGAGTGGATGTTTCCATACTTGTTTCAATTTTAATTTTCGGTGCCTGTACTGCGAAAACCAGCTACATTGAGGTCAAAGATTGCTGGTGCAAAGACCCGTTGCCTTGCCATGCCGGAGACCCATGTCAGGCCATAGCAAGTCAATATCAACTATATTCTTCAGTTCTCTCACTCGTGTCTTCCCCGAGCCTTTGATACTATAGATTCTATATATAAATATTCTAGCAGCACCCTGTGCCAGGAACAATGCTTACGACGGGGTCCAGGAGTTTTGGGTTGTTGTTCGTGAAACTGGCGAACGAACAACGGAGACCAGCTACGAGGAGATCCACAAGAAGAATTCCAAGGTGCCCGGCATTTGGTGAGGATTCTCCTTTGTGTCCACTGCAAAGTACCACTTTCCACATCATGCCTGGCAGCAGGCTTCCTCTGAGCCGCAGTTCCACTTGTCTGGTGACAAGTTTGCGGGCTTGGATGCCATGGAGGACCGGGAAAAAAAGGAAGCTGCACTGGCAATTGAGGATCCAACCATGATCGATATGGACAGGACTGGTTTTGAAATTGATTGAAATGCATCCTGGAATATATCCTATTTCCGGAGTTTGTTCCAAGTAGATCATGTCAGAAAAAAAAGGTATCTATAATATATAATCCAAATGTTTTCATCTCAATGATCACTTTGATTCGGATGTCATCACAATATTAGTGGGCCCTGTCAGGTCCAAGATGATTTGAAGCGCTTTCTTGAATCGATGATGTCTAAGTCGGGGAAATTGCGTAGCCTTGCCCGGGATCTTCGCAAGAGCTATTCCCAAGATGCTGCAGCTATGCAGCCGCTTTGATTGAAAAATATGGAAACCTCAACCATATGTGTACTATATATATATATATATATATATATTATATACATTCATAGGATCTACTATAATGTTATCTACAATGGTGCTATGTATATACTTCTTAAAAAGTAAGATCCCCAAGATCATATATAGGGTCCAATTTTCTATGGCCGCCTCTTGAACCCAGACTCCCCGCTGCAGCCCAGGTGTGTGCCGGCCTTGGAGGCAAGCATCAAAGAAGTTGATGCTGCATATGATTCCTGCAACGAAGCTTGGGCCAGAGGGGAGGCTGACAAGTTCCGCTCGACAACGTTCCTGACTTAACTTTTGGAATGTTCAAATGTTCATGACAAAACTGATTTGTGATACAAGATCAGCACATCATCAAGGTACCAGTTTTGGAAAACACATGGGTGAAAGTTGAACTACATGGTTCTCACAAAATGCGAGGTTCATTTCGATGGCAGAGGACCGCATGAAAAAGGCCACCTTCACGTGACCACCTCAAAAAATGCTCATTGTGAATTGGGAAGAGCCTTGATCTAGCCCTATCACCTTCTTGCTTATTTTCATCACTGACTGACTTAGGTGCAGCAAAGCATTGGCCGTTGAGAACAAAATCAGGACAGCACGCTGTCAAACCATAATGAACAGTTAAGGGCAATGGCTATAGTGAAACAACCCATGATTTGATCGATCTGCTCCAGCTCCATTCTGTTACCCTTCTTTTTCTAAAAATTGGAAGAAAACGGTCCAATGCATTTCTGCAGGAACGCGAAGAAGTACTACACCAAAGATGGGAGGACCGCCAATGCAAAGCCTACTGGATCGATACCTGCTTCTACCAATTCTCAGAAAAAACCGGCGCGAAAGCCGAAGGGTAAGGCAAAGTCCAAGCCTTCCAAAGTCAACAAGTGATTCTTTGGATCTCTTGCCATGTGGCCACAGACTTTTAGGAGCTCAGCAGATGCACACACAGTGGACGCAATAATTTTTAATTTGTATCATTTTATGAACATGAAACTTATGAAACATAGATTTCTTTAAGTGCCTTTAACTGTGTTTGGTTACTTGGCTTGTGTGTGGGAGTGCGAAAGCAAGGGTCTGAATGGTCCTTTTCAAACTTTTCTTTTGGGGTTTACCAGGGCACCTGCAAACCAAAGCGGGTCCCAGACACAGTCCTGGGCAACTTGAGCTGGCAATGTGTCCAGTAATCCTCAACCTGACGGGGTTGCGTGTCGCAGTCGGGAGTGAAAGGGTGAGCGCATTTGTGGGCCCATTTGTTGGCGCATGTTGGCAAATGATTTTTCACCACTTGGGCAGTTCAAACAACTTTTCACTAAGATTCTATGAAAATAGTTTCCTACTATGTCCCGTCCTTTTTGACCATTGTTTCCCCGAAGGTTGGCCCCTGGGTTCTCAAAGCAACCTGCTGCCAGGTCAGCCTGTGGGCAACGCACTTCGAAACTTCAGTGAGGACATAGGACATGGCGTCAGCACCTCAAACGGTCAGGACACTGGTCAGGAATGCACATAATTTGAAGGTTGCAACTCGCCTAGTTCCCGCTGCTTATTTTTAGCTTTGGGGTAGATGCCCAAACCCCATACATGTCCCTATGCAATGCTCTGGCGATTTTGACGATGATGACTGGCTAGTGGAGCTGTTGAGTTCCCATCGGCATGTTCCCTAGCTGCAAAAAGAAAATGTAAAAGACTTCGAAACGCATCAGCCGTAGGGACAAACATTTTGAACAACGACAGGTTTTTTGTGATCTTTTCTGGGGGAACTCCCAAGGATGATGATTATCCTTTCCCATGGAAAAAAATCTTTGAAGAGAGATGCATCTGGTTCAGCCCCGTCGGAAACAACAGCGGGATCTCGGAAACGCAATTTAGACACTGTGGGCCTACCAAGTGTGCGTAGTCAAGGGGTTCACCTTTGGACTCAACGCTTTGCAGATTATGTGAAACGATTTCCAGAACTCCAAGATCTCCAAAACAAGTTGAATGAGCAGTTCCCTGGACAGATTCAATTTCGATTGCCTCGTTTGGGCGCTCTATCAGGAAGCGTGGTGCAGCATGCCACGAATGTCATTGAAGAGTTGCTCCTGTCACAATCTCCTTGCACATTTAAGATCGGTTTCACCCATTGTCCTTTATGGCGATGGGGCAACAAACTATACGGTTATGTGACTTCCAAAGACAAGTGGTCAACCATGTTCATTCTCTATTTGACCCCAGAACCTTACAGCCCATCGATGTTGGAAGCGGCGCTCATCGATAAGTACAAAAGACCCTCACTTGAATTATATATATATACAATTTTCCACATCAGCGTTTTTAACGCAGAACAGTGAAATCTATGTTTGCCGTTTTCAAAATACCATACCGGGACCCCTATAGATTCATTCCACCCACTGCCAGCCAAAAGCAGCCAAGGCACCAAGGGGTGCAAGAACGAAAAAAATGGTGGCGACACATGCCAGTGGAGCGGTGAGACCTCGGAGAAACGGCTCTACATGACTTATGTTGTTTGGAGGTCTTTCAAACACCCACCACCTGTGAAATAAGTTTCATGAGATGGGTGATATTTATACATCAGTGAAAAAGATGGTGCTGGCCCAATGGTGGCCAGGGATGTTCGGGATCGACCGCGCGGTGTAAAAAAAAAAACTATGCAGTGCAGTCTTGCGTGTGGTTTGTTTTGCTGTGTGGTGTTTTGTTTGGGACACCTTGCCCCAACACATTTCACACCGATCCAATTGACTTTTCCGATTGACTTACATGCAAACTCTTCTCACATTACAAGTACAACTCCGGAAGCTTTCGGCTAACATTATATATCTGATTGCGGATGCCCATGAAGCAATGAAGAAATAATAAGTTTCCCCTACATCCAAGCGCTGCCCTTTCTATATCTATTATATGTTTATCTTTTTTCTCTGAGGCGTCATGCGCTTCAGTGGTCCGGGCGGCCAGAGGGTTCGTGGAAGATGTAGGGGCACCGGCTGCTTCGAAATCCGGGGGTCTTTTGGACTTGGCCCGACGTTCTGAAAACAATGCTGAAAGGGATTGCGCCCGGCTGATGGTAAACCAGTTTGAACTAGGCTTGCCTATTCCCAAAACCAAGTTGGACACAGGAGTGCCCGATGATGACTTGTCAGTGCCTGTTCTTAGATTGAGAGATTGGGTGGACTTCCTGGTGCGTGGCAACCACACCCACATTTTAGTTGGCTTGAAGAAGCCGAACTGGAAGCGCGAAGAAGCCATTCTGTCAGCCTTCTGGGCCAACTTTGAAAGGCAGTTTCCAACGCACCCAGTTTTTGAGAGTGCCCGGCAAGGCAATCTAGACCTTGGCAAGACTTTTCCAATGGTATTTCATGGCGATGAAGGCAGAGGCAGGAAAAGACTACCGTTTTTGGTTTTGAACTTCCACTCGGTTTTGGGCCGTGGCTTACAGGTTCACAGCAAGAAGAAGCCAGGTTGGATTAAAATGGCGCCAAACTATCATGGACACACCCTGACGTCAAGATTTCTGCTGGCGGCCCTTCCAAAAGCTGCATATACAAACGAGCATGGGCATGTCTGGGAGAGCCTGATGGATCTTGCAGCCGACGAAGCGCGGCACATGTTTTTCACTGGCGTGACAGATCTGATATCGGGACGTGGCACCTTTCACATGGCCATGCTGCACATCTGCGGCGATTGGCCGTGGCTCGCAGACAGTGGTGGCTTTAAAAGAAGTTATCGGAACGTGCAAAAGCATAAGACAAGGACAAAACCGCCAGTTGGAATATGCCACATGTGCGCTGCCGGCCAGATAGGCTATGACTTTGAGCAGCTGAACACTGACCAGCCGGCATGGATTGCAACTATGTTCACTCAGGAACTCTTTTGTGAAGGTTTCGACCCGTCGCCATTTGTTAGAATTCCTCATGTACCTGGCCAAACTGGGGCTCTGTGGTACTTTGATGTATTTCACACTATGCACCTGGGTGTTTGCAAGTACCTACTTGGTAGCTGCCTCGCCCTGATGTCTGAGGTGGAACCAGGATCATCTATCGATGCCAGATTTGACAGCCTCAGCTGTCGGTTCATTCGCTGGTGTAAAGAGAGCAAGCGGAGACCACATATAGCCAAGCTCACGAAGGAGCTCATTGGCTGGCAGGTGCAAACGACCTTTCCAAGCGGTACATGGCACAAGGGCGGACTGTCCAGTGTATTGATGGATTTCGTGGAGCATGCCTACGAAGCCAACAAAGGCTCTTGGCCGCGGATGTTGCAGTCAGCAGGGCAAGCTGTTGTCAATTGCAATGCATTTTTACGAACACTGTATGCTGGCGATGCTTGGTTGAGTGTGGGGCAAGCTGAGAAAGCTGCGCAACATGGGCTTGACTTCTTGCGTTGCTACGCGGGTCTGGCCCGAATAGCTTTGAGAGAGCAACGCTGCCTCTGGGTTTTACAACCCAAGCACCATGCTATGCATCACTTGGTGTTGTACCTTTGGAATTGCAGCAGGAAGGGAAAGACCCTCAATCCACTTTGTATGGCAACTCAGGCAGATGAGGACTTCATCGGTCGTCCAAGTCGCTTGAGTAGACGGGTCACAGCCCAGCCCCAACAGATTTGCAATCGTGTGCTTGGCCGCTACCTTCAGAGTGCCTACGCTCAGTGGGTCAAAGCAGGGTACATCATCAGGCCAAAGCACGGCACGAACAAAGTTCGTTGATTTGAGCCATTCCTTCCTGTATTCCTTCTTATATCCTACTTTGGGCAGCGCTTGGAAAATCTTAGAAATTGAATTCCTCCATATCCCCTGTAAAGATTTGTGGGAATGAGATTAAATGGGAATATCAAATGTTCAAGGCTGAGGCGTGCACAGAGAGTGCTCTGCGAAGTCGAGCAACAAAATGATAGCATCTTTGCTGCGGGGTGAAATGTGGTGATTTGGCAAACCCTGGTTTTCATGTTCAAAACTCGGGTTTCAACTCAAACCCGACGAATTTGTCGGGTATGGAGGGACAAGGTATGTAATTATAAGCATATACTGAATTGGGAGATCCTTTTAGTGTGTTTCTTTTCTCATGTTTCATGGCTTCATCATTTCTCTCGGTTCAATGCCTCCAGGACTCTCGGCGCCTGGCCTTGCTAACCAGCTGCGATGCCTTAACGCGAGGCGGGACCTGGTGAGTGAAAATATGGATTTCACATGATTGATCCATTAAAACATGGACATCCTGGTGACTTAGCCATCAATTTTACTATACCATCAAAATCACACTTTGGTGACTTAACCATGAGAACATGTAACATGAACATATTGATGTAACCAGGGATTAAATAAAGAGGAAAAATGGTGATTGAACCAATGAACATGATGAGGTAACCGATAGAAATGGTGATTTCACCAACAAGATGGAGGTCTAGCAGTCTAGCATACCAATTTTTGCGAGTCAAACATGAAGAACACGGATTGAAGCAGGCAGGGTATCAACTCCAACTCGGACGGAGTTTTAAGCACAAACAGGAATTGTGGATTTGACGCAGAGGGAAATATTATATATGTATATACAATTCACATATACACACAATAATATGGATTGAACCAGAATTTGAAACGAGATTTTCATCAGGGAGAATCCTCAAACTTGACTTATAACTAATTATGGGGGATATTGCTAGCAAACTTAATACGTGTCAACCATTAAAAAGTTGGTTTGCAGGCAAACACTCGGATTACGCAAACACTCGGATTCAATAAGCCAAGGTGGGGATGTAACTCAGAAGTTTCGAGGATTTAAGCAGTAAAACCGGGGATTTCACTAGCACAAAGGCAGGGGACTGAACCAACAACAGGCGGATCTAGGAGGTAGAAATATGTTTTTTTTGAACATGAATACGCAAATTTATACATGTGTCAACCTGCAGAAACACTGATTTGACCACGCACAATGAGTACAATAAGAACACTGTTTTTTGTTAGCCCGTTCAAATAGCATGTGTTGTTCCTTTACACAGATAGCACCGACTTCACTGGCGGGTTCCTCGGCATAATGAGTACAATAAGAACACTGTTTTTTGTTAGCCCGTTCAAATAGCATGTGTTGTTCCTTTACACAGATAGCACCGACTTCACTGGCGGGTTCCTCAGCATCGATGTTTCTCTTGGCTATCTCAAGGTAGTTGTTGATACATAAATCTAGCACAGCCACGGATGATCTGGGTGATCCGGTTGTTTACCTTGTTGTATACTTCCCCATGCTTGCCGAGTATTTTGTGTGGTCTGTACCATGAGGAAATGGGTCAACAGTGAAGGCTCTAGGAAACTCAGCCCACGCTAGGTCGTAATTTGATGTGGGGCCCATCCCTCACTCGGAGACAAATCCTAGACCAGGATGTGATAGTTTAAGACCCGTCACCATTTATCATCCATCGTGGGTAATTCAACCTATTGATCTTTTCCTGGGGATATCCATTTGAACATGTCAGAAGCATTTGGATGGTAATCCGTGTTTAATGAAACAATGATCAAATAGATATCAAATAGTCTTGGAATATCATCCGTTAAAGTCCTATATGATGACATATCCTACGGTTCATCCAAAAAATATTCCTTACATAAACCATCATAAACCCATTTCATCCATTACATCTTATTATATATGTGTATTACATATTTATTACATATACTGGTTGGTGGTTTGGAACATTTTTTATTTTCCATAATATCTGGGATAATCATCACAACTGACTAATATGTTTCGAGATGGTTGAAACCACCAACCAGTATAGTTGCCTAGGTATTTACGACCCATTTCTTTTCTCGGCCCAGATGAGCCGCAGCGCCTGACGGCCGTTCTGGCACTTCGCGCCTTGCTGGCCTGGAACCGGCTCTTGGAGGCGTCCCGAGACGTCGTAAGTTCACGGACGTCGGGACATCGGACGTTTTGGCGGACGGTTGAAATCCATGAAGACATAGGGAAAACATGGCGGAATCACTATAAATAATCCCTTCCTCCTAATACTAAACGCCGCCCCCCCCCATTACTAAACACGGCAGGTAGTTTTTAGTATTAGGGAGGTATTTGTTATACTCTATTAAAAAATAAACCCTTAATAATAAAAACTATTTTTTCCGATCTCAAAATCAATTAAATTTCTTTATATAACGCAATTAAAATATTGCCAAAAATTGGATTTCGAAGCTTCCCCCTAATGTTAAATTAAAACCCTTCATAATAAAAACTATTTTTTCCGATCTCAAAATCAATTAAATTTCTTTATATAACGCAATTAAAATATTGCCAAAAATTGTATTTCGAAGCTTCCCCCAAATATTAAATTAAAACCCTTCATAATAAAAACTATTTTTTCCGATCTCAAAATCAATTAAATTTCTTTATATAACGCATTTAAAATATTGCCAAAAATTGTATTTCGAAGCTTCCCCCAAATATTAAATTAAAACCCTTCATAATAAAAACTATTTTTTCCGATCTCAAAATCAATTAAATTTCTTTATATAACGTAATTAAAATATTGCCAAAAATTGGATGTCAAAGCTTCCCCCTAATACTAAAATAAAAACATTAATATAAAAAATTAATAAAAATCGGACGGACCCTAATCATAAACACTCCGGGGTGAACTAGTTTTAGTATTAGGGGGGGAACCCACAAATGGCAGGTTGATTTTTAAATTGTTTTCTAAAGGGGAGCAATTAAAAATCAAATTGGCCAATCTGCAATTTTCTGAAATTGGAGATGGACGCCTGTTTTTAGTATTTGGGGGACGTTTAGTATTAGGAGGAAGGGATTATGGAAACAATAGGGGTGGTAAATCCAAAAAAAACGCTATTTGGGGTTGTGATTCTAGTGGGAATGACAACTGGAAGGGTTGTAATTTCATGTCCTATAAAACGTAAACAATATATTATTGAAGCATAAAACCATTTATAACCCAAATGGTTATATACGATTTATGAATGGTTTTAAGGTGGGTTATCATGCCGTAAATGGGGTGACTTACTGACTTATATCTGGTAAAGGCCCATAACCCTACATTTTTACCCACTCCCAAATTTAACGACACCATTTTGTAAAATTTGGTTGGCCTAAATCTCTTAAAGTCCAAAACACGAATAGGTCGGTCACAAAATGATGCTTGCATATGTTTGCATGAGCATGAAGTTTCAGCTAGTATTTGTTTGTCTTCTGGCTGTAGAACCCTCTTCAGATTCAGGAGCTCAAAAGATGAGGGTTTGATGCATACCGCATACCCAGATAATGGCAGACGTTTCATGCCCCGGAGAGTTTTCTGCATGGGACTTTCGATCCAGGTGTGCACTCGCAGATGTGCAGCGCGCAAAGCACATTGTCTCAGTTGATGGAGGTGAAGTTGACGTAAACGTTGAAAAAACATGAAAAAAACTTGGATGGAGGTTTCCTAAAATGGTGGTACCTTTGGGTACCTTAAATCATACAAGTCTTAAGACCATGCCGAATTGGGGAGTCACCATTTTAAAGGAACCGCCAGATAGGTATTTGATTGTTCTGTTTCATTCGGCGGGTATATAACGGTATATAATGATATTATACATTGTTTCAAAAACATATCGCTTGCGGGGTATCTAAGATTGGCAATTTTTGAACACACGGAGTGATGAGGATACTCGTTTGTCCAGAGATTTGGTACACCCCAAACTTGCCATTGTCTAAGATCTTGCGAATAACAATGGTTCGGCCAGTTTCGCCAGTTCTACGGGATTCTTTGGAGCAATCCGAAGGAAAGGTAAACAATGAAGGACAGGCAGGACGGTGGGAAGCAAGCAACAACCAGCTCCAAAGGAGGAAGCGACTATTCTATACAATTATATTACTCCATAATATGCTGGTGCTGCATGTGCTATATATCGCTTCTGTGGCTTTGTCAGAGGAGCTAACCCCTTAACCCTGTTCCAGCACCTTTCATGTTCTCTCCTTGCTCTACAGTATGATGGTTTCATTAAAAAATTCGTGGTGGCATAGATGTGAGTTGCTGCTGCTCCTTGTCCTCGGGGTGTTCACTGTACCGCTTGCCTGTTGTCCGCAGCACAGCATCCCTCTTATTTCAAAACATAACTATTTGTTCGAATACGAATTGGTAGGTTCATCATGGTTCATATATATTAATATATTAATATATATATATATATTATGTGTAGTAGTTGTTCCTGCAGCATGTTTGTCCTCAGCTTGCTACTACGGCACCTAAGGTTGAAGACAACAGTTTCAAATGTTCAAAATTCTTAGAATCTAGAAAAAAGCGTCTGCAATATTTCCTAGTTTTATTATTGGTCAATTTCCCCATCACTCTACTCCTAGTACCGCCCTACCAAGGTGAAGCGATCCATGTGCGACGTTCTTGGCGTCGGCGTCTGGGGCCCCTAAGTTTGGGACACTGCCACATTCTTTGGTGAAATCCAAATCTAAATCTAGATGTTTCAGAAGTTCTTTTTTTTGGTGCCGGGAATCTGAGAGACTCGCGACTGTTGTCATTGTTTGCATCATACTATCAACATATTATTGGATGGGGGGGTTGGGGGTGGGATAATAACGTCATTGGCATGTCCACACATACGTGATGCTACAGTACTGTACGCTCTCTTAAACTTCATTCATATGCTACGCTGCTGTAGGTTCTCTTGCACTTCCACACATACGTCATGCTACGCCACACTAGATTCTCTTGCACTTCCACACATACGTCATGCTACGGCACTGTAGGTTCTCTTGCACTTCCACACATACGTCATGCTACGGCACTGTAGGTTCTCTTGCACTTCCACACATACGTCATTCTACGCCGCTGTAGGTTCTCTTGCACTTCCACACATACGTCATGCTACGCCGCTGTAGGTTCTCTTGCACTTCCAGACGCTGCTGTAGGTTCTCTTGGGCTTCCACACATACGTCATGCTACGCCGCTGTAGGTTCTCTTGCACTTCCAGACGCTGCTGTAGGTTCTCTTGGGCTTCCACACATACGTCATGCTACGCCGCTGCAGGTTGTCAATGTGAAGCACTCCAAGTTCAAGTTTGAGTTTGTCAAAAGATTGAAAAACATCTTCAAAAAAGATCCAGTACAAAGGCTGGAACCCAGTTGGCTGACCGCAATTGGGACCAGCTTGACAGTTGGTTGCCTCGTAGCATAACAACCTTGCAGAAAGGAAAGTTGAACCCATCTTTGTATGAATACACGTACAGCTGGGCATGAAGATACTGCTTGCTTTGCGTAAGCTTGCTCACCTCGCAGCCCCCGCTTGAAAAATGCGCTCTCATTTGCTGCCATCTCCAGGATGGTAAAGAAGATGAAAGACACAATCATAATAAATAATGATAATAATAATAAATAATAATAGTATCAATAACAACAATAACAATAACGACGATGATGATGGTGATGATAATGATATCAATGATGATGGTAAAAATGATGATGATGATCATCATGATGATCATGATGGTGATGCTGATGGTGATGATGGTGATGATGATGATGTTGATGATGATGATGGCAAGAGAGATGATGTTGATGTTGATGGTGATGTTGATGGTGGTTTTGGTGTTGGTGATGATGATGGTCTTGATCTTGATGATGATGATGATGACGATGATGATGATGATGATGATGGCCGTGGTGCTGGTAATGATAATGATGCTGCTGTTGTTGATGATGATGGTGATCATGATGTTGATGATGCTGATAATGGTGATGATGTTGGTGATGATGATGATGATGTTGTTTCTGATGTTCTTGTTGATGATGATAATGTTCATGACGATGCTGCTGATGAAACTAAAGTTTCGTTTTTGAACCTTTTCGATTCCCCCATATAAAATGTTTGAAAAGTGACGACAGTCACGAGCCTTTCAGATGCCCGGCACCTTTTTGATATGATTTTCCCCTGTGTTTTGGTGGTAAACCCATGGCAAGTCCCCAATCTGCGGCCATGGCCATGCCACGACGCCTGAGGCCCGACGGGAGGCCACCACCTTGATGAGCAACGCCCTGGCAGCCTGGCGCCGTGAGGTGCGACCCCAATTCACCATGGATTTACCTATATTAAAATGGTCTAATGATTTGGATGTTTGGGGGTAATCCGATTTAGGAAACCTGCATTTGGATTCATGGGGATTCATGGCGATTTAACGAAGATTTAATCGGATTTAATGATGATTTAACTATCAAACATCGGGATATGAGTAGTGGGGATATTTTAGACTACAAATAGGTTATATCTATGATTGGGACTGTAACATGAGTTGTTTGTACTGCAATGCTGCAATAAAGATTAATTAGTGGAACATTTTGAATTTTATACAATACAATCAATTTCATGTTGATAATTCTACTTGTGGCCATATACGGCAGGATTGCAGTCAGATTGTTTTGTTGTTTCTGGTTGATTTTCGGGCACTTGTAGAGTTGGTTGTCCCTCCCTGACCAGGTGCAACAAGTCCGTGGCGGTCGGTGGTTGTGGGGAAGGAGGCCGGTGGAGATCTCAGTTGGGTTTGTCCGTAGAGGTCTTAGAGATGGGGCCTACATACCCCACAATTAAGTTGTTTAGTTGCTTATCGTATTTTATTTTTTTTGAAAGATGATTATTTGTTTTTGATCATAGATTGTCATAAATTATAGGTTATCTAAGTTGTTCTAATTTACTTTATAGTATATAATATTTATATATATATATATATATTTGAAGTCTTGGATTTATAGGTTTTGATTTTGATGGATTCTATTGGAGATGTTGTGATCCCCATGCTCAGAAAGTGCAAATTTTGAAACCATTGACTGTAATGTGGGTTTGTCTGAAATGTACATATATATATATACACGTATGATACATTATATATATATATACACACCAAAAAATGCTGGTTAATCTTGAGATTTTGGACTAAATGTCACTTTTGGGGCACACTTGGGAAATAGTGTTGATTGGTTTTGATTCGCCAAACTAGGGAGTTGACGGACGAACATCCATTTGATGGCTATGTGGCTATGTGGGTGGAAATTCATGCTACC